ATGTTCTTCTCCTGCAGCCTCCAGAGATACCCTCGTAATATCCCAGGAGGCTGCAGGAGCAGGACAACACAGCGGCTGATGGGTGGACCTGATGCGCTACATCGGGGGCCAGCTGCCTGAATTTGAAAGGGGCAGCTGGCTCCCAATGACTGAGGAGGACCAAGATGTTGGTGCAGACAGTGCAGGGAATGAGAATAAAACTAACTCAGCAGCATGGTGAGGCTGGGAGTGTCTAGCTAAGGGATGTGCTAACTAGTAGCAAAACAGGAGGGGGAAACAGAGTACATGCCAAATCTCCAAAAATAACAAATAATAAAACAGACTGCTGTGGGAGCAACAAAGCTTATTGCACCCTTACAAAATTACTAATTTAATTTCACCTTCCCCATTGACGACAATATATTTCCCAAAAATAGTGACATTTTAAAGAAATCTTTTGTTTTCACTTACATTTCAGGGAATTGGTACACTTAATTTCACCCGCTACTCTTAACAAACTCACCCCCTGCTCATCTTAGCTTCTATTCATTCCCTTGCTGCTCCTTTCACTCTCTGTGAGCCCTGGATAAGTTAAAGTGAAAGCCCTGTGTAAGTTCAGGCTAAGGACCAACAGTCTCACTTTGCGTTCTTTGAAAAGCAGCCATAGCCTGAGTAGAAAAACTGGTCCTCTACCACCATGCTGCATAGAGGAATCCTTGCTTTACCCCCTGCTGGGTCAGAGCCAGAAGAGCTCAGTAGAGAGCATGAGCTTGCCCTCTGTGGTCTCATTTCAGAAGTCAAGCGCAACCCCTACTGGGTCAGATCTACATCTCTGCAATGAGACCACAGAGGGCAAGGGTCCCACTTTGCAGCTGCTGGCAGGGGACAGGCTTTTCTACTCTAAGAAAACCAACTATAAGACTTTGAACACCTTTTGCTTTGATGCAACTGGAAGGTAATCAGCTGATTTACACATGGGCTTTAATTATTCACTTTGTCAATGGCTAAGGAAGAAAGAAATTCAAGAAAATTGACTTTCCCTTTATGCCGTGCATCCTCAGATAGCCTCAAATTTCATTTTTTTAAAACACAGATAAAGTCTATCACTTGATCTACATTTATTGCACTTGTAATTATAAGACATTTACATAAGGCATGTATTTGCTATCGGTTATAATGCTCTGCTGCCTCCCAGTGGGACACGTCTGTGAATGCATAACAACAGCTATGCTGATGAGCTGTAGCGAATACAAATCATTGTACCGCTTAGAAATCAACATTATATTGAGGAGTGCTTTATTAAAGCAGAGATGCTGAACCTGATAAGAAAATAAGTATTCATGACTTTGACTTTTCAAACTCAGGGGAGGTTAGTTCCTCCTGAAATTATTTTTCTTTCAATGTCCCGGCTTCCCAGCGGTATACAGAATTGGACTGTTGATTGACACTTACTCATGGTTCATATCCTTTCGTTATTTGGATGTTGCAGGTAAGGAGTCACCAGTGTATAAGATAATGACTCATGGGAGAAGACTATATGACACTATAAGCCATTGGAACTCCATGTTCTCAATCTGGCACTGCTTAATAAACCTTGGCAGTTCTTAAAATGCAAATAAGAGCAACACAAGAAGAACTCGTCATTCTTTGCTCGGCAGAAGGACACAGAAGGAATTGACTGCCTAAAGTGATAATAAAAAGGTTAGGTCCCGCTGGGCACAGCCATAACACAGAGTGTCTTATTGGAGACTATACCTGTCTTGTCCAATGCTGCCTGATTGTGTCTAACTGACTCTACTATAATGAGGGTAGATAAGAAAACAAGCATCAAGGCATCCTGGTAGGCACTATATGTGCTCTACAGGATTTCCTTCTAGCTGCTGTTAATGGGATCAGTATAAGAGCCAACAATGAAGCTATATAACATGATAACAGGAAGTGGGTTTGCATTAATTTAAAATTATGGATCTTGAGGACAGTATTTGAATTGGAGTTTATGACAATGCTGTCACTTAAAAAAAAGAAATGATAAAATGAAAACATACAGATTAAAAGGAAAAGAAGGAGGTTGGCGTTCAGCAACATTTATAGGGTTCTGAAACGGGGCTAGTTGCCAGTGACAGATCAATTTGTCCACCTCAGTGCCCATTGACAGGGGCATCTTTCC